CTGGCTCCGTAGAGAATGATAATAGTGCTTTTGGTGCAGCTCCAGAAACTTTCTTGCTGTGTTAGCTCCTTTTGAGGTATGAAATTTTATCACTGACACCTTAGGTATCTCTGGGTCTGCTGTAGGCTCAGAACTGGCAAAAAAGGGTTCTGTGTCCCTAGATACCAGATCCACTGTGCCCTAACCTAAGGTCTGCTGATTTTTAATGACTAAGTATGAAATTCAAATATAATTACTCTTCTCAATCATATCAGTAAATACTCAGTCTTATGGAAGGTTCTGGGCTAGGCTCTGGGAAAACAAAGAGATAACAGCCTTTGCCAGAAGATTCTGCCATTCAAAGGAAAAGTACAGGGGAGATCAAGGAAAGATTAACAGAGGGCAGAAACTGTCCCTAACCTGGCACAATAACCAACACACAACAATAGCCCCGAATGTTTATTATAATAATGATTACAGTAAACACATTGGAATTCAGGCAGGACAATTAAAAATGAACAAATTCAGTAGCTAGAATCCTGTGGGTTGTCTTTATTCTCTGCAGATTTCTGGTTGTATTTCTTCTGTCTAGGGCTCAGCTTTGTAAACTGACTTATAAAACCCTCTCCTCTGGGTTTCCCATTTAGGGAGCTGGCACCGACGAGGGCTGCCTGATTGAGATCCTGGCCTCTCGGACACCTGAGGAGATCCGGCGCATAAACCAGACCTACCAGCTGGGTATGTAGCATCCTTAGTAGCCTCAGGTTTCACCGTGATCCGAGAACTAGACTAGCAGCAGAGGTGGGTCACCTACTGATCAAACTGACCATGAGGGGTCCAAGCTCTGGTTTCAGGCAGACCTCTGTTGGCTTCTCAAGACTTTTCAGGTAAACGTGCTACTTAGGCTACCCAGTGCAGTGTTTTATTACCGAAGAAGCTGGAAAGTTGTTCCTTATTATCAAGCAGAGAATCAAAGGTGCTTGTTCAAAAGTGGTGGCACCAGTGAATCTTAGCATTCTAGGGAATGGCTTGGAGGGGCTGTCTCACCCAACTTCTTACCTTCAGACTGGAGTGAATGGCTACCATCTCAGAATGATAGCCATTTACTCCCCTCTTTAAAATCTCCAGAGAATGATACAGATGAAGAGCCTTTATAAGATGCATGCCCCTTTGCCCTAAGAATATTAAAAAAAAATACACAAAGATTTTAGATCCCATAGTATTTATTTGGTGTTTGTTATATTAGCTAAAAATGTCAAACACTTTAGCAGACTGCCTAAACAAAATATGGTACACCACACAATGGACTGTTGTGTAGTCATCAAAGCGTATATTGAAGGATACTATTAAATTACATTAAATGGCATGATATATGGATAAGTGAAAAAAAGACAAATTGTAAAATAGTATGCTATGGTCCCATTTTTTTCAAGAAAGAAAAATAATATGTGTCTGTGGGGAAAAATGAGGAAGGATATTCACAAAAATGTTATTGATGATTATTATTTCTTGGTGATTAGATTATCGTGAGGTTATTCCCCCCTCCCCCATTTTTCTTATTTTTTTTCTTAAGTTTTCCACAGTAAACATGTGCTACTTTGGTAGAAAGAAAACAACACAATAATAGTTTTTTGGTAAATGTTCAGAGCAGGATGTTCCAAACCTTGGGAGTTTGGTTGTAGCACCGGATCCCCACATCTGCTGAACGCGGGTATTCTCCCGCTGCAGGCTGTGAAAGGTTGGAGCTTCTCTTGGGGAAGCACTCGAGCGAGTAACATGGCAGAGAAGGCACATGCTAGAATTTGGACTTGACAGCCCCCTGCTTGTCCCCAAACACGAGTTCTGAAACTCCACTCTACATGCTTTTCAACAGTCACTATTCTTTACGTCACTGAAAACCACATTCAGAACAGACCCCTGAACAGTGGGACAGTGAGGGCTACAACCCCAGCCTTTCTCCCTCCCTTTTAAGGAACAGGAAAGAACATGTTGTTTCCACCATAACGACAAGCTAAACTTAGCCATTTTACCAGCGTTTAGTTTTTAAAAATCTGTGTGTGAGGTGAAAAACGTCACAAGGAGCTGCTTCAGTAAGCGAATCCTGGAGAGGACAGAAGGTTCTGGCGTGTGACACAGTGTTGGGCAGGACTTTTTATCTTGGCGGAGCTAATTTTGCTAATTTTACTTTCTTGCTAGAACACGGGCGGAGCCTGGAAGACGACATTTGCTCTGACACGTCATTCATGTTCCAGCGAGTGCTGGTGTCTCTGTCTGCTGTGAGTGGCTCCCTCTGTTGGCTGCTTCTGATGGGCATTGGGTTTTATTGACATGCTCACTCTGTCCCCTTTTCCAGACTTTCTTATCCTTTCAACCTCCCAAATGTCGATATTCCTCAGATGTTTTTCTCAGGCCTCTCTTCTAGAGACTCTGGCTAGTCACGTATGACCATTTGTTCTAACTTATACATATAAGTACCTAATACATGTCCACCATCTTTATCATTCAGTGCACGGAGACTTAAGAGGATCATTAAGAGACAGTTCCTGAGCTTTAGGAGTTTATATTGTCATAAGGGAATATATCAGACATACAAGTTGCTTTGATAAAGGTCTGAAAAGTAAATGCCTAAGGAGAGGCACATAGTAAAAGAAAGATTCAAGGAGAATTTTAGCTGCAGAAACAAACAAAAGGCTTCATGGCAGAAATGTGGATTCAGAGAGGACATGGAGGGTTGGTAGGACTTTAAGAAGCAGAGGTGCAGGTGGGTGAATTCCAGGCAGCAAGAAACTAACAACAAGGCAATGTGATGTGGTCAGAGAACAACTGGCCGAGCAGTCGGGCTGGTGATTCTAGGGACAAGGTGCACAGATGAACTGAGATTCTACATTGGGAAGAGTTTACACTTTCTTCAAAGAGCAGTAGGGAACCACAGAAGGTTTGAGACCAGTAGAATATGATTGGAAATGTATTTCTGGAAGAGTAATATATTACTCACCTGTAAGATTAATTGTAATGGCAAGAAATTGGAGGTTGGGAGACCAGGTAGGAAGTTATCTCACTATTTTGTATGAGAAATAAAGCAGGACTTAGCTAGTGTGGGAGCAAGGATGCAAGAAAAGAGAAGATGGTTACATGAGATATTTCACATGACTCCCCAATTGTATCTTTATCCCTGACCTCCTTTCTGAGTGTGAGACTCATTTCTCACTGCTTTTTAGAAGTTTCCTTATAGATATTTGCCATTTTCCTGACTTGTCTTTTTCTGTTAATATTGTTGCTGTTCAGAACATAACCCTGGAAACCATCTCCAACTTTCACCTTGCTTTGTCTCTGGTATTTACTTCGTGTGGTCCACTTTACTTATTTTCTACCCACTTTTTCTTTTCCTCACCGATTTACCATTCTGCTGAGCCATACCTAGACTATAGAATATTGAGACAGCATAGCAATGAAAACAGTCTAACAAACCGGAGGAAAGTAGCCCATTTTGCTGCTCCTTAGCATTCCTCTAAGGCGTCACGCCTGCCTTTCTCATGAGCTGGAGTTGGAGAGGGACAGGGTGTTTTCTTGTGTTCCTCAAGCCCCACCTCTGGTCCCAAACTCTCTCAATTCTCCTGTTCCCAACCCCTACTTGGCAGAATTGATCAGTGTAGATTTGCTGGTTCCAAAGGAATGAGTCAGCTGGGAAGACACGGGACTGCGGGTAGGTGAGGAACGGGAAGAAATAGTAGTGGAGGGAGCCGTCAACAGGCAGCATTCATTCTCCTTCCTTTTCTATGTTGCAGAGACACCCATGCAACAGAGGCTCGCCTTCTGGTTGGTAATGTTCTCTAAGCTCAGATCAGAACCACAGGAATAAATGCAAGCACACTCAGTGGACATCGGTCCTGACAGTTTATCAACAGCTAGGAAACTCAGGAGCTTGTGGTTTCCCAGAAGTGACAAACAGCACCCCTTAGCTTAAAAAAATAGGAGGGTGAACATCAGTCTTCTCTCCCTAGGCTGGAAGTGTGACCCCTTTTGGTATTCTAATTACCATGTCCCTGGATTCCCAGACATTCTTCATGGCTACTCTCTCATTCTCTTTGGTTTGTTTATCTTGTCCTTAGGGTGGCAGGGATGAAGGAAATTTTCTGGATGATGCTCTCATGAGACAGGATGCCCAGGTGAGTAGAACTGTAGCTTCTTTCTTCTCTTTTGACAGTAAGAGAGGCCTTAGTTGGTGGACTCCCTCTTATATTCGTTTATATTGAGCTAGCTGAGATGTCTTATTTAAAAAGATTCCCACGGATGGTCTTTAATAGCAGAAGTTGCCTGCAGAGCTACCTGGGGCTTGGGAGTGGCATGAGGCATCATTGTATAAGCACCTCTGGATTCTAGATTTTTTCACATTGGGACCTTGTTGTGGCCACCCCAGAGAACCATGGAGTGTCTTCTGTATCACTGGGAGGTGAAGAGACTTGCCTTTGCTCTGTTTATCTTGCACTTTTACTTTCCCAAAGAAAACATTTGATAGGACCTGTGTAAAAGAGCTTAGCACAATGTATATCCTGTCAGGTAAAATTAATACCAAACCCCAAGGGGCTTCCTTGGTACCCAGCCTACTGATGGCTGTCCTCAGTTATTATAGATAACACTAATAATGGCTAATAAAAAGTGGGCCTTTACCAGGTACCAAACACTGTGCTAGCTCTCGATAAGAAGTATGTCATCGATGGCTAAGTGGAGGGCTAGGGGAGGGAGGGAGCAATTGAGGGGATCGTTTTATGAACATTATAGATGTCTAACCAATGTACCGTGTACTTGAAACTAATTTAAATAAATAAATTTATTTTTTAAAAATCCCACTAGATTGTATTCTTTAACGAATTGTAAAGCAGGTGAATTATATCTCAGTAAAGCTATTAAGTCATTTTTCAAAATGAAATACTTTACTGTTAGTAAGAAATCATCTGCGTTTCATGAAATAAAAGACTATTCCCCACTGATAAACAGTGCTCCACTATGAAATGGTATGACTTTGAGGGGGTGCAGGGCAGGGAGGAGAGTAAGGGGTAGACACATGAGTGGCCAGGAGTTAAAAGTTAAACCTGGATGAAGGGTAAAAGAGCTTTATTATAGTCTTCTATATGTTTATATGTTTGAAATTTCCATAATAAAAGACTTAAAAATTAAAAAAAAGAAGTATGTCATCAAATCCTTGCAATAACCCTATGAAGTATTAGTATCCCAATTTTCTGGATAAGGGAATTGAGGCTCAAAGAAATTCCTTGCTTAAGTTTCCACAGATAATAAGTGGCAGAACTGGGATTTGAACCGAGGCAATCTGGGTCTAGACCCTGTACTCTTAATATACATATAACCATAGAGAAACACTGGTCCCAATTAATATGTGAGATATGAACCATTATGGATTCTGCAAGAAAGAACCTGTTCCTTCACTAGAAGGGAGAAGGGTATGTGTGTCATAAAAGTTCTGAGGACTCAGGGAGTCCCATCCCATACAGAGACACAAGAAATTGCCTTCAATCCAGAAGTTTTGAGGAGGGAGAAGGTATTAAAAACATTGAAACATTGGATGCTTATGTGAATTTCAGATACCTCACAGAGAGCATTTTGGGGCATGCTGGAAGGAACTTCCATAGCCTAGGTGAATCCCAAATTAAATGAAGAGTTACTGAGCAATTTATTCCTGAAACATTATATTCACTATCAATTTTTTGTGGATTTACTAGGTGCCAGGTATTGTGACTGCTTTACATTTTTTCCTTATAACAAATCTGGGAAGTAGATATTATTACTTCTGTTTGAAAGATTAGGAAACTGATGCACAAATTTGAATTTGTCCAAGATCACAAAGTTGGTGGAATTGGGCTCTTTGGATCCAGGTCTGTCTGATTATTTCCAACTATGCAATTCAACAAACAAATATTTTGGGGCTCTGCAAGGAACACAGTTCTCCTTGGAGGCGACCTGGTGAAAAGGTGCTTCGAAATAAGTTCGGACTGGGGAAGTTGGACAGAGGGAGTAGAACTCAGAATAGGGTTTTTCTGGATATCCCAGGGCTTACCAAGAGGCAAGGAATTTAAGAACAACTTCAGCCAAGGTTTCAGCTCTTCCAGAAAAAGACAGGAGGAAACCTTGTCAATGTGTGCTCTTTAACTTGCATCAGCAGCAAGGGGGTCATTGCAGAATTTGGGTATCATGCTAAGCGAAATAAGTCAAACAGAAAAAGTTGAGAACTATATAATTTCACTCATATGTGGGACATAAAACTGAAAGCAACAAACGAACAAGACAGGCAGACAGCAGTTTAGTGGTTACCAAAAGGGATCAGGAGGAGGTGGATAAGGATAAAGGGTGTCAAATACGTGATGACGGAAGGAAATTTAACTTTGGGTGTTGAACACGTAATGCAATATACATATGATGTATTATTGGATTGTATACTTGAAACCTACATAATTTTATTGACCAGTGTCACCCCAATAAATTTAATAAAATGAAAAGAATTTGGGTATTATAGCTCAATTTTGATGTAGGAAAGTGAGTTTGAGATGAGCAGAATGATCAGGGCAGGTAGAATTTGGTAGTTTTCACTTACGAAAGGTAGAAAATTTAAAATAGAGAGGCTATTATCTGACCATTTTATCTGTTTTTTATCTGTTTTGTGGATGAAATTTGAACTAAAGGAAATCATAGGTAGTGTTCAGAATCTCTACTTTAAAAAGAAATTTATAATATATTAAAACTACATTAAAAATGCCCTTTAGAGCTTGTGCTAGAAGGTGGCACATATTTGAATCTCTTCTTCTGGTGGGGGGCGTGGACAGGAAATATAAAAATAGGGGAAAACCTGCATCAACACTGGAAAATGAAGGAGGAGAGCCATTAAAATGCCAGATGGGCAGCAAACCTGACCTAAGGACACAGGAGGGTCATCCCAGAAAAGAGGCTAAGCCCCACCCCCCACCACCACACACCCCCAAAGTGGACACAGGCACAGTGGTTTCATGCAGACAGGAGGGAAGTCCTCAGAGAAGACTTGCACTGTGTCTCAGTTGTCCTCAGTGGACTAGCAGCAAGTGAGCCTGCTTGAAATTCATCCAAATGAAAACTGAGGACCTTCACAAAGAATCGACTCACCTTGTTCTGGGGGAAAGATCCAGGTCTGGATAGACTGCTCATCATTTAAGGATGGAGGAGCTTGAAAGTCAATGGATCCTCACCTCAAACACTAGGTAGGGAAGCAAACGGGACCATGCTGTAAGAAAGAGTCAGGTTTCAGATTGCTTTAGACCCTAAAATAAATGAGAAAAAAAAAAGGATTTTAATTAAATTAGTGCTAAAAGAAAAAGAAAAAATGCAATGAGAAAATAACAGAGATGAAAATGGAGCTGGATAAAGGGTAAACAGATTTAAGAAAAAAAAAAGGGGGAGCTAGATGAGTTGGAGGAGAAATGTTCTCAGATGAAGCAGAGAAAACCAGAATTTTAAAGTTTATTAGAAGCAAGAATGATCAAAAATGATATTGCTGAAAATGACATCATTGTGAAAAATGATGCCAAAAAAACCTCCAGAATTCAGAAGAAAAGGACAAAGAACATAAAGGAAAGACTATGGAGATTAGAATCGTGACAAAAAGGGTATGGAAAATTTTGCACTGATATATACTTAAAAGTATAATAAAGGTAAAATAAAGCATGGGGTCCTGGTATAAGAATAGTAAAGAGAAGCTAATGGAATGATTAGAAAATCTAAGAGCAGAACCAAGCCTACGTGAGAATAAACAGGTAGCATTTTAAGTCAGCAAGGAAAACACAGATTACTTACTCAGTGGAGCTGGGACAGCTGGCTAACCATTTGGGAAAAAATAAAGTTAGATCCCTGCTTTCACCTCACATTACAATGAATTCTAAAAAGATTGAAATTTTAATATGAATAAATGAAGTAAGATACTACAATAAAGAATAATTAAATCTTTTATTTTTTTAATCTGGAGCTGGGAAAAGATTTTGTATACCTGACACAAAAGGTAGAAACCATGAAGGAAAAATAATTGGTAGTTTGACTACATTAAAAAAGTATACAAATTGTTTTAGCAGATAATACCACAAAGAAAATTAAAGGTCAAATGACAGAATGAGAAAGTTTCTCCTTGTGTACAATAAGCCGAATATATAAAGAGATTTTATAAATAAACAATATAGTTAACTATGCTACTGATAAATCGAAACTACTATTGTGATACTATGAATAGGAATGCTCCAGTTATTTTTTTAAAGAATGGACAATAGACTTTAATAGGCAACTCAAAAAAGAAAAAAGTAGAAATGGCAAATACCTAAAAAATGTCCAACCTCACTAGTTACTAAAAGAAATTAACACAAAAAATAGTATTTTCTACCCATTATTAAAAAGGTTACTCTTCAAGGTCATTTGTGATATTTTATAAAAGCATCATTCTGTGACAGATTGGAAGCTGGTTCTTTGCCTCACATTCTAGGAACCACTTCAAACACTTCAAACTTAGTGACATAAAACAACCACCATTTTATTATGCCCATGGATTCTGTGGGTCAGGAATTCAGACAAATCACTGCAGAGCTGGCTGTCTCTGCTCTATAATGTCTAAGGTCTTAGTTGGGAAGACTTGAGCAGCTGGAGGTGACTCAAATGGCTGGAGGTTGGAAGCTTCATCACTCATGTGTCTGGCATTTGGACTGTGATGACTTGAAGGCGGGATCAGCTGGAACTCCAGGTGGCTTGGGCTTCCCAAAGCATGGCGGCTGTGTTTCAAGAAGGAGCATCTCACAAGCCAGCATTCCAAGAGAACCAAATCTGTCTGGCCTTCTATGATCTAGCCTCAGAAGTCAGTGGCACTACTATCATATTGTATTGATTGAAACAGTCACAAACCTACTGAGATTCGAATTTGAAAAATACTGATTTAGATAAACCCTTCATGCCCTCCCGGCTTTAAAATTGACACAAGCAATGAAGGAATTAGAGAAAGAAGTGAAGAAACAGATGAGTAGATGGAGGTAAGCTCAGTGAGTGACAAAATGTGTCAATTAAGGACATTTTGAGAAATTTAACAAGCTAGCTGCTGATTATAAACTAGCAGTAGGGTTTAAATTTTCTTTTATAAAATACACATAAAATTTACCATCTTAACCATTTTTAAGTGTACAGTTCAGTAGTTAACTATATGCACATTGTACAACCAATCTCCAGAACTTTTTCATCTTGAAAAACTGCAACTCTATACCCATTAAACAACTCATTTTCCCCTCTCTCCAGCCACAGGCAACTACTATTCTACTTTCTGTTTCTAGGAATTTGACTATTCTAGAGACTTCATATAACATGTAAGGGAAATCGTACAATATTTGTCTTTTTGTGACCGGCTTATTTCACTTAGCATAACATCCTCAAGGTTCATCAGTGTTGTAACACGTGTCAGAACTTCTTTTTAAGGCTGCATATTCCACTGTATGTACATACCACATTTTGTTTATCTATTTATGTGTCAATGGACGTTTGTGTTGCTTCCACCTTTTGGCTGTTGTGAATAATAACTGCTATGAACATGGGTATACATATATCTCCTTAAGATTCTGTTTTCAATTCTTTTGAATACATACCCAGAAATAGTATTGCTGGATTATATGGTAATTCTATTTTTAATTCTTGAGGAACAGCCATACTGTTTTCTAAAGAGGCTGCATCATTTTGCATTCTCACCAACCATGCACAAGGATTCCAGTTTCCCCATAACCTTGTCAACACTTTTTTATTTTCTGGGTTTTTTTTTTAATAGCCGCCATCCTAATGAGTATGAGGAGATATGAACAGCAGTTTCGATTTATCAATGGTATAATTAAAGTGACGAGAATCAATTTCTTATATTCCTACCTAGTTGGAATATAAGCAGTTACTGATGGGTCCTGCCTCTACTGTGAGACCTTCTAGAGCCCCAAGCAGATCACAGCTCATTCTAGAGCAGTGTTGTCCAATGAAATGCGTAAAATGCTCTACATCTGCACTGTCTATTATGGGTAGCCACGCATGGCCACTGAGCACTTGAAATGTGGCCAGTACGAATGAGGGGTTGAATTTTATTTTTTATTTAATTTTAATTAATTAAAATTTAAATTGCCACATGTGGTTAGTGGCTACTGTGTTGGACAACCCAAGTCTAGGATTCCTTAGCTCTTAAAATCGAACCATGTAGTCTGCATGTAGATAGCTACTGTTGTTTGTCTTGACTCTCAAGGAGATGTTAGAGTGTCCCATTAGTCATGCCTTAGGAAAAATCTTGAGTCATTACCACTCACCGCCAATACCACTTCCACCCCTATCACCAGCAAAATAAAACTAAGCCAGCTCAGCTCTTTGAAGTTCTGGAAATATTTGGATATATCCTGGCACCTTCTCTGTGGTATTTTTAACATGTGCTTTGTTTGGCTCCAGGACTTGTATGAGGCTGGAGAGAAGAAATGGGGGACAGATGAGGTGAAATTCCTAACTGTTCTCTGTTCTCGGAATCGAAATCATCTATTGCATGGTAAGGCACTTTCCTCATCTTCTAAAGAAACTTTAAAAGATAGTGAAGACTATATTGCCCTTTATTAATTATAACGTTTTCCTCTTTATTTGATACAAAGAACTGATTGTCCTGAACTGTTGTAGATGTCTTACCTTGGAATTATATCAGTGCGACAGTGTGCATGAGGGCCAATTTCTGAAAGATTAATCATGAATAATTAGCAGATACACAGCGTATTCATA